CCAGGGGTGTGGACCACTCTACACTCCCCCGTATAGTTCCAGGGGTGTGGACCACTCTACACTCCCCCGTATAGTTCCAGGGGTGTGGACCACTCCCCCGTATAGTTCCAGGGGTGTGGACCACTCTACACTCCCCCGTATAGTTCCAGGGGTGTGGACCACTCCCCCGTATAGTTCCAGGGGTGTGGACCACTCCCCCGTATAGTTCCAGGGGTGTGGACCACTCCCCGTATAGTTCCAGGGGTGTGGACCACTCCCCCGTATAGTTCCAGGGGTGTGGACCACTCCCCCGTATAGTTCCAGGGGTGTGGACCACTCCCCGTATAGTTCCAGGGGTGTGGACCATTCCCCCGTATAGTTCCAGGGGTGTGGACCACTCCCCCATATAGTTCCAGGGGTGTGGACCACTCCCCCGTATAGTTCCAGGGGTGTGGACCACTCTACACTCCCCCGTATAGTTCCAGGGGTGTGGACCACTCTACACTCCCCCGTATAGTTCCAGGGGTGTGGACCACTCCCCCGTATAGTTCCAGGGGTGTGGACCACTCTACACTCCCCCGTATAGTTCCAGGGGTGTGGACCACTCCCCCGTATAGTTCCAGGGGTGTGGACCACTCCCCCGTATAGTTCCAGGGGTGTGGACCACTCCCCCGTATAGTTCCAGGGGTGTGGACCACTCCCCCGTATAGTTCCAGGGGTGTGGACCACTCCCCCGTATAGTTCCAGGGGTGTGGACCACTCCCCGTATAGTTCCAGGGGTGTGGACCACTCTACACTCCCCCGTATAGTTCCAGGGGTGTGGACCACTCTACACTCCCCCGTATAGTTCCAGGGGTGTGGACCACTCCCCCGTATAGTTCCAGGGGTGTGGACCACTCCCCCGTATAGTTCCAGGGGTGTGGACCACTCCCCCGTATAGTTCCAGGGGTGTGGACCACTCCCCCGTATAGTTCCAGGGGTGTGGACCACTCCCCCGTATAGTTCCAGGGGTGTGGACCACTCCCCCGTATAGTTCCAGGGGTGTGGACCACTCCCCCGTATAGTTCCAGGGGTGTGGACCACTCCCCCGTATAGTTCCAGGGGTGTGGACCACTCCCCCGTATAGTTCCAGGAGTGTGGACCACTCCCCCGTATAGTTCCAGGGGTGTGGACCACTCCCCCGTATAGTTCCAGGGGTGTGGACCACTCCCCCGTATAGTTCCAGGGGTGTGGACCACTCCCCCGTATAGTTCCAGGGGTGTGGACCACTCCCCCGTATAGTTTCAGGGGTGTGGACCACTCTACACTCCCCCGTATAGTTCCAGGGGTGTGGACCACTCCCCCGTATAGTTCCAGGGGTGTGGACCACTCCCCCGTATAGTTCCAGGGGTGTGGACCACTCCTCCGTATAGTTCCAGGGGTGTGGACCACTCCCCCGTATAGTTCCAGGGGTGTGGACCACTCCCCCGTATAGTTCCAGGGGTGTGGACCACTCCCCCGTATAGTTCCAGGGGTGTGGACCACTCTACACTCCCCCCGTATAGTTCCAGGGGTGTGGACCATTCCCCCGTATAGTTCCAGGGGTGTGGACCACTCCCCCGTATAGTTCCAGGGGTGTGGACGACTCCCCCGTATAGCTCCAGGGGTGTGGACCACTCCCCCGTATAGTTCCAGGGGTGTGGACCACTCCCCCGTATAGTTCCAGGGGTGTGGACGACTCCCCCGTATAGCTCCAGGGGTGTGGACCACTCCCCCGTATAGTTCCAGGGGTGTGGACGACTCCCCCGTATAGCTCCAGGGGTGTGGACCACTCCCCCGTATAGTTCCAGGGGTGTGGACCACTCTACATTCCCCCGTAAAGTTCCAGACGCCGGCCTCCAGACCTCCATAACTCCAGGGAGTGTCCACGCCTGCTGGAAGCTGCTGGTGGAGCCCTGGAAGGCTGTTGGACCTTACATAAACAACCGAGCCTCTCAACACGGGGAAGATGCTGATTTGAATGTATGTTTGGAGACCCACTGTGTGTTTGTGTGTGTCTGTGTTTGTGTGTTTGTGTATGTATATACTACATGTACCTACAGGACCGAGGTGTTAGCTCTTGGAGCCCGCCTTTCCGACGGTTGGTTGTCTAATGTATCGACCCCTGATATATTTTTCCCTTCATCATATGTACTATATATTTCGCCTACACACATTCCTAGGATGCAGCTCCTAGCAGCCGTCTAACTCTCAGGGCCCTAGGTGAACAGAGGCATCTGGTGAGAGAACTTTACATTTGCTCATGTTGAATTCCAGTAGCCATTTCTCTGACCATCTCTGCAACCTGTTCAGGTCCTCTTGGAGGATCCTGCAATCCTCATCTGTCACAACTCTTCTCATCAACTTTGCATCATCCGCAAACATCGACATGTAGGACTCTACGCCTGTAAACATGTCGTTAACATATACAAGAAATAGAATTGGTCCCAGCACCGATCCTTGTGGTACTCCACTTGTTACTGTTCGCCAGTCCGACTTCTCGCCCCTTACCGTAACTCTTTGGCTCCTTCCTGTTAGGTAGTTCCTTATCCATGCTAGGACCTTTTCCCCCACCCCCGCCTGCCTCTCGAGTTTGAACAGCAGTCTCATGTGCGGTACTGTATCAAAGGCTTTTTGGCAGTCCAGAAATATGCAGTCTGCCCAACCGTCTCTGTCCTGTCTTATCCTCGTTATTTTATCATAGAATTCCAGAAGGTTTGTTAGGCACGATTTCCCTGTCCAGAACCCATGTTGATGATTGTTCACAAACCTAATGTTCTCCAGGTGTGCAACCAGTCGTAGCCTAATTATTCTTTCCAGTATTTTACAGGGGATGCTTGTCAGTGATACAGGTCTGTAGTTAAGTGCCTCCTCCCTATCACCTTTCTTGAAGATCGGCACGACATTTGCCTTCTTCCAGCAACTGGGCAATTCTCCCGACATAAGTGACTCATTAAAGATCATTGCCAGAGGCACGCTGAGGGCCTGTGCTGCTTCTTTTAGTATCCACGGTGATACTTTGTCTGGTCCAACTGCTTTAGTTGCATCCAGTGTTGTCAACTGTTTCATTACCTCCTCTGCTGTCACCTCTATATCTGATAGTCTTTCATCTAGGGTAACCCCTTCCAACAATGGGAGCTGCTCAGGCTCGGTAGTGAACACTCCATGGAAACTGTCTCTAGTCTCACCTCTATATCTGTGTGTGTGGGTGGCTGTGAGTTTGTGTGTGTTTGTGTTCTGACCTCAAATTTACACAGCAGAATAACACCATACTGGAGCGAGAGACACGGAAGGAAGTGCAGAATAGAACCAGTGAGGAGTAGAGGTGCCATAGTCACAATCAGTGAACACTGTCTGAACACCAGAGGTCCAGTGAGGAGTAGAGGTGCCATAGTCACAATCAGTGAACACTGAACACCAGAGGTCCAGTGAGGAGTAGAGGTGCCATAGTCACAATCAGTGAACATTGAACACCAGAGGTCCAGTGAGGAGTAGAGGTGCCATAGTCACAATCAGTGAACACTGAACACCAGAGGTCCAGTGAGGAGTAGAGGTGCCATAGTCACAATCAGTGAACATTGAACACCAGAGGTCCAGTGAGGAGTAGAGGTGCCATAGTCACAATCAGTGAACACTGAACACCAGAGGTCCAGTGAGGAGTAGAGGTGCCATAGTCACAATCAGTGAACACTGAACACCAGAGGTCCAGTGAGGAGTAGAGGTGCCATAGTCACAATCAGTGAACACTGTCTGAACACCAGAGGTCCAGTAAGGAGTAGAGGTGCCATAGTCACAATCAGTGAACACTGAACACCAGAGGTCCAGTGAGGAGTAGAGGTGCCATAGTCACAATCAGTGAACACTGAACACCAGAGGTCCAGTAAGGAGTAGAGGTGCCATAGTCACAATCAGTGAACACTGAACACCAGAGGTCCAGTGAGGAGTAGAGGTGCCATAGTCACAATCAGTGAACACTGAACACCAGAGGTCCAGTGAGGAGTAGAGGTGCCATAGTCACAATCAGTGAATACTGAACACCAGAGGTCCAGTGAGGAGTAGAGGTGCCATAGTCACAATCAGTGAACACTGAACACCAGAGGTCCAGTGAGGAGTAGAGGTGCCATAGTCACAATCAGAGAACACTGAACACCAGAGGTCCAGTGAGGAGTAGAGGTGCCATAGTCACAATCAGTGAACACTGAACACCAGAGATCCAGTGAGGAGTAGAGGTGCCATAGTCACAATCAGTGAACACTGAACACCAGAGGTCCAGTGAGGAGTAGAGGTGCCATAGTCACAATCAGTGAACACTGAACACCAGAGGTCCAGTGAGGAGTAGAGGTGCCATAGTCACAATCAGTGAACGCTGAACATCAGAGGTCCAGTGAGGAGTAGAGGTGCCATAGTCACAATCAGTGAACACTGAACACCAGAGATCCAGTGAGGAGTAGAGGTGCCATAGTCACAATCAGTGAACACTGAACACCAGAGGTCCAGTGAGGAGTAGAGGTGCCATAGTCACAATCAGTGAACACTGAACACCAGAGGTCCAGTGAGGAGTAGAGGTGCCATAGTCACAATCAGTGAACACTGAACACCAGAGGTCCAGTGAGGAGTAGAGGTGCCATAGTCACAATCAGTGAACACTGAACACCAGAGGTCCAGTGAGGAGTAGAGGTGCCATAGTCACAATCAGAGAACACTGAACACCAGAGGTCCAGTGAAGAGTAGAGGTGCCATAGTCACAATCAGTGAACACTGAACACCAGAGGTCCACAGCTGTTCAACACCCTCCCAGCAAGCATTAGAAATATTTCCGGAACAAAGATGGCTGTCTTCAAGAAGCATTTGGACAAGTTCTTACAAGAAGTGCCGGACCAACCAGGCTGTAGTGGACACGTGGGCCTGCGGGCCGCTCCAAGCAACAGCCTGTTGGGCCAAGTTACCACAAGTCAAACCTGGCCTCAGGCCGGGGTTTTGGGGTGTAGAAGAACCCTTGAAACCTTCCACAGGTAAACTCCATCTGTCATTCCAATGTGAGTGACAGTGGTGACGCGGTATTCATCAGTGGTGACGCGGTATTCATCAGTGGTGACGCGGTATTCATCAGTGGTGGCGCGGTAGTCATCAGTGGTGGCGCGGTATTCATCAGTGGTGAAGAGAAGGCAATCCTTGTGTGCAACAAAGTAACAAAGGCACTCTGGTCGGCGGGGTTGCAGAGTGCAGGAGTCGGCAGGTATTTGTAGACCTCTGTAATATTGAGGACCTGGAGCCGTGTTGATCTGTGGTGGTGACGGGGGTTACGGGTCATGGGTGGGTCTCTCTCTCTGTCTGTCTCTCTCTCTCTCTCTCTCTCTCTCTCTCTCTCTCTCTCTCTCTCTCTCTCTCTCTCTCTCTCTCTCTCTCTCTCTCTCTCTCTCTCTCTCTCTCTCTCTCTCTCTCTCTCTCTCTCTCTCTCTCTCTCTCTCTCTCTCTCTCCCTCTCTCTCTCTCTCTCTCTCTCTCTCTCTCTCTCTCTCTCTCTCTCTCTCTCTCTCTCTCTCTCTCTCTCTCTCTCTCTCTCTCTCTCTCTCTCTCTCTCTCTCTCTCCCTCACTGCCTATACTTAACCACGCAGGGAAATAATCCTCCATCGACTGTGAAAACTGCAGCAGTAATTCAATACTTGGTGAGCTAAGACGGAGGAAGATTGCCATAGTTGGGTCGTTAGGAGATTACTGGCGGTGATTTACTAATGGGATTGCCAGGGGTAACTAGGGGGCATAATTGGCGTGTTTATACTCACCTGTGAGGGTTCACAGGGCGGGACTTAGCTCTTGGACCCGGCTTTTAGTCGCTCGTGTGAGAGAAGTAGTGATGTCACTGTCCTTGTTACTGTGTCACTGTCCTTGTCACTGTCCTTGTTACTGTCTCTGTGTCACTGTCCTTGTTACTGCCTCTGTGTCACTGTCCTTGTTACTGTCTCTGTGTTACTGTCCTTGTTACTGTCTCTGTGTCACTGTCCTAGTTACTGTCTGTGTGTCACTATCCTTGTTACTGTCTCTGTGTCACTGTCCTTGTTACTGTCTGTGTGTCACTGTCCTTGTTACTGTGTCACTGTCCTTGTTACTGGCTCTGTGTCACTGTCCTTGTTACTGCTACTGTGTCACTGTCCTTGTTATTGCTACTGTGTCACTGTCCTTGTTACTGTGTCACTGTCCTTGTTACTGGCTCTGTGTCACTGTCCTTGTTACTGCTACTGTGTCACTGTCCTTGTTATTGCTACTGTGTCACTGTCCTTGTTACTGTCTCTGTGTTACTGTCCTTGTTACTGTGTCACTGTCCTTGTTACTGCTACTGTGTCACTGTCCTTGTTATTGCTACTGTGTCACTGTCCTTGTTACTGTCTCTGTGTTACTGTCCTTGTTACTGTGTCACTGTCCTTGTTACTGCTACTGTGTCACTGTCCTTGTTATTGCTACTGTGTCACTGTCCTTGTTACTGTCTCTGTGTTACTGTCCTTGTTACTGTGTCACTGTCCTTGTTACTGCTACTGTGTCACTGTCCTTGTTATTGCTACTGTGTCACTGTCCTTGTTACTGTCTCTGTGTTACTGTCCTTGTTACTGTGTCACTGTCCTTGTTACTGTGTCACTGTCCTTGTTACTTCGTCACTGTCCTTGTTACTGTCTGTGTGTCACTGTCCTTGTTACTGCCTCTGTGTCACTGTCCTTGTTACTGTCATTGTGTCACTGTCCTTGTTACTGTCACTATGTCATTGTCCTTGTCACTGTCTCTGTGTCACTGTCCTTGTTACTACCTCTGTGTCACTGTCCTTGTTACTGTCACTGTGTCACTGTCCTTGTTACTGCCTCTGTGTCACTGTCCTTGTTACTGTCTCTGTGTCACTGTCCTTGTTACTGTCTCTTAGTCACTGTCCTTGTTACTGTCTCTGTGTCACTGTCCTTGTTACTGTCTCTGTGTCACTGTCCTTGTTACTGCTACTGTGTCACTGTCCTTGTTACTGTCTCTGTGTCACTGTCCTTGTTACTGTCTCTGTGTCACTGTCCTTGTCACTGTCTCTGTGTCACTGTCCTTGTCACTGTCTCTGTGTCACTGTCCTTGTTACTGTCTCTGTGTCACTGTCCTTGTTACTGTCTCTGTGTCACTGTCCTTGTTACTGTCTCTGTGTCACTGTCCTTGTTACTGTCTCTGTGTCACTGTCCTTGTTACTGTCTCTGTGTCACTGTCCTTGTTACTGTCTCTGTGTCACTGTCCTTGTTACTGCTACTGTGTCACTGTCCTTGTTACTGTCTCTGTGTCACTGTCCTTGTTACTGCTACTGTGTCACTGTTCTTGTTACTGCCTCTGTGTCACTGTCCTTGTTACTGTCTCTGTGTCACTGTCCTTTTTACTGTCTCTGTGTCACTGCCCTTGTTACTGCTACTGTGTCACTGTTCTTGTTACTGCCTCTGTGTCACTGTCCTTGTTACTGTCTCTGTGTCACTGTCCTTTTTACTGTCTCTGTGTCACTGTCCTTGTTACTGTCTCTGTGTCACTGTCCTTATTACTGTCTCTGTGTCACTGTCCTAGTTACTGTCTCTGTGTCACTGTCCTTGTTACTGTCTCTGTGTCACTGTCCTTGTTACTGTCTCTGTGTCACTGTCCTTTTTACTGTCTCTGTGTCACTGCCCTTGTTACTGTCTCTGTGTCACTGTCCTTGTTACTACCTCTGTGTCACTGTCCTTGTTACTGTCTGTGTGTCATTGTCCTTGTCACTGTCTCTGTGTCACTGTCCTTGTTACTACCTCTGTGTCACTGTCCTTGTTACTGTCTCTGTGTCACTGTCCTTGTTACTGTCTCTGTGTCACTGTCCTTGTTACTGTCTGTGTGTCACTGTCCTTGTTACTGTCTCTGTGTCACTGTCCTTGTTACTGCCTCTGTGTCACTGTCCTTGTTACTGTCACTGTGTCACTGTCCTTGTTACTGTCTCTGTGTCACTGTCCTTGTTACTGCCTCTGTGTCACTGTCCTTGTTACTGTCACTGTGTCACTGTCACTGAGTCACTGTCCTTGTTACTGTCTCTGTGTCACTGTCCTTCTTACTGTCTCTGTGTCACTGTCCTTGTTACTGCCTCTGTGTCACTGTCCTTGTTACTGTCACTATGTCACTGTCACTGAGTCACTGTCCTTGTTACTGTCTCTGTGTCACTGTCCTTGTTACTGTCTCTGTGTCACTGTCCTTGTTACTGTCTCTGTGTCACTGTCCTTGTTACTGTCACTGTGTCACTGTCACTGTGTCACTGTCACTGTGTCACTGTCCTTGTTACTGTCTCTGTGACACTGTCCTTGTTACTGCCTCTGTGTCACTGTCCTTGTTACTGCTACTGTGTCACTGTCACTGTGTCACTGTCCTTGTTACTGTCACTGTCCTTGTTACTGTCACTGTGTCACTGTCCTTGTTACTGCTACTGTGTCACTGTCCTTGTTACTGTCTCTGTGTCACTGTCCTTGTTACTGCCTCTGTGTCACTGTCCTTGTTACTGTCTCTGTGTCACTGTCCTTGTTCCTGTCACTGTACTCACCTAGTTGTACTCACCTAGTTGTGTTTGCGGGGGTTGAGCTCTGGCTCTTTGGTCCCGCCTCTCAACCGTCAATCAACAGGTGTACAGATTCCTGAGCCTATCGGGCTCTGTCATATCTACACTTGAAACTGTGTATGGAGTGAGCCTCCACCACATCACCCCCTAATGCATTCCATTTGTCAACCACTCTGACACTAAAAAAGTTCTTTCTAATATCTCTGTGGCTCATTTGGGCACTCAGTTTCCACCTGTGTCCCCTTGTGCGTGTTCCCCTTGTGTTAAATAGACTGTCTTTATCTACCCTATCAATCCCCTTCAGAATCTTGAATGTGGTGATCATGTCCCCCCTAACTCTTCTGTCTTCCAGCGAAGTGAGGTTTAATTCCCGTAGTCTCTCCTCGTAGCTCATACCTCTCAGCTCGGGTACTAGTCTGGTGGCAAACCTTTGAACCTTTTCCAGTTTAGTCTTATCCTTGACTAGATATGGACTCCATGCTGGGGCTGCATACTCCAGGATTGGCCTGACATATGTGGTATACAAAGTTCTGAATGATTCTTTACACAAGTTTCTGAATGCCGTTCGTATGTTGGCCAGCCTGGCATATGCCGCTGATGTTATCCGCTTGATATGTGCTGCAGGAGACAGGTCTGGCGTGATATCAACCCCCAAGTCTTTTTCCTTCTCTGACTCCTGCAGAATTTCCTCTCCCAGATGATACCTTGTATCTGGCCTCCTGCTCCCTACACCTATCTTCATTACATTACATTTGGTTGGGTTAAACTCTAACAACCATTTGTTCGACCATTCCTTCAGCTTGTATAGGTCTTCTTGAAGCCTCAAACAGTCCTCTTCTGTTTTAATCCTTCTCATAATTTTAGCATCGTCCGCAAACATTGAGAGAAATGAATCGATACCCTCCGGGAGATCATTTACATATATCAGAAACAAGATAGGACCGAGTACAGAGCCCTGTGGGACTCCACTGGTGACTTCACGCCAATCGGAGGTCTCACCCCTCACCGTAACTCTCTGCTTCCTATTGCTTAGATACTCCCTTATCCACTGTGTTACTGTCACTGTGTCACTGTCCTTGTTACTGCTACTGTGTCACTGTCACTGTGTCACTGTCACTGTGTCACTGTCCTTGTTACTGTCTCTGTGTCACTGTCCTTGTTACTGCTACTGTGTCACTGTCCTTGTTACTGCCTCTGTGTCACTGTCCTTGTTACTGCCTCTGTGTCACTGTCCTTGTTACTGTCCTTGTTACTGTCTCTGTGTCACTGTCCTTGTTACTGTCTCTGTGTCACTGTCCTTGTTACTGTCTCTGTGTCACTGTCCTTGTTACTGCTACTGTGTCACTGTCACTGTGTCACTGTCCTTGTTACTGTCTCTGTGTCACTGTCCTTGTTACTGCTACTGTGTCACTGTCCTTGTTACTGTCTCTGTGTCACTGTCCTTGTTACTGTCTCTGTGTCACTGTCCTTGTTACTGCTACTGTGTCACTGTCCTTGTCACTGTCTCTGTGTCACTGTCCTTGTTACTGTCTCTGTGTCACTGTCCTTGTTACTGTCTCTGTGTCACTGTCCTTGTTACTGTCTCTGTGTCACTGTCCTTGTTACTGTCTCTTAGTCACTGTCCGTGTTACTGTCACTGTGTTACTGTCACTGTGTCACTGTCCTTGTTACTGTCTCTGTGTCACTGTCCTTGTTCCTGTCACTGTGTTACTGTCACTGTGTCACTGTCCTTGTTACTGTCTCTGTGTCACTGTCTTTGTTACTGTCACTGTGTCACTGTCGTTGTTACTGCTACTGTGTCACTGTCCTTGTTACTGTCTCTGTGTCACTGTCCTTGTTACTGCTACTGTGTCACTGTCCTTGTTACTGTCACTGTGTCACTCTCCTTGTTACTGCTACTGTGTCACTGTCCTTGTCACTGTCTCTGTGTCACTGTCCTTGTTACTGCTACTGTGTCACTGTCCTTGTCACTGCCTCTGTGTCACTGTCCTTGTTACTGTCACTGTGTCACTGTCCTTGTTACTGTCTCTGTGTCACTGTCTTTGTTACTGTCTCTGTGTTACTGTTTCTGTGTCACTGTCCTTGTTACTGTCACTGTGTCACTGCCCTTGTTACTGCT